AAAGGCTGAAGTCGTCTTCAAAAAGAAAAAACTTGAGGGGCCAGTTTCTCGTTTTTTAATTAGTACTCGAAATCTTTTTAATCCTTATTTACCGCAGGGGGCTATCATAAAATGAGTATTGTAAAGACTTCCAACAGCCACGCCTGGGGTTTATGGATCTCTGCAAGTGGCTCATTACTCAGAGTGTTTAACGGATCAGAAATGCTACGGAAAGGGCCAGGAAAGAAGGGTAACAGTTCATTTTAGGTCATCAAACAGCACGCGAAAACCCCATCCTTCTGTAATACGGGACAGGTTAAATGGATAAAGAAAAAATAATTAAAACATGTAGAGCGCATAAAAGAAATAGAAGTAATTATTCAACAAACTAAATAACCCAATATTTGCGCATGATAATTAAAATGGCCCAATAGTGCCCAATTAGACAGAATCTTCGAGTCAATATCATGTCTGTACAATCCCTAGATTATCTCTGTACCATCGCTATAGAGTTGACATGGAGATTATATATACGACATAGATAAAAAGATGATAGAGGTGGTATAGAGTCAACGATTTTGCCCAGCTGGGCACTACTGTTTTGTTAACTCAATTAAACTGCCAGCGAAAAAATAAATCGGAAGAGAACCGAAACGACCAAACAACTGAGAGAAGAGGGGAATATAAAGAACGGGAAATGATACTATCAAAGGGGGAGTTGGGAACAAAAGGATAAGGTTAAGAATAAGAGGCATCGATATAACGGGAAGAAGGAAGGAAATTAGGGAGAAGTTGAATAAGAAGAATGTGATGCGGAGGTAGCATGAGGTTGGTGGTAGTAAATGTCAGTCGCGGCTACCGCTCAGTACTGTTTTATCTGGACACTTAGCAACCTCTCTCACCATAATGCACGGAATTGGTGGATTTACCTCAGCTAGTTGTTCCTCGTCTTCATCTGGCTTAGCGCCGCTAGGACCCGCATCCTCTTCGTTGGCAGCCGTGGCAGTAAGAATTTTCTGGAGGAAAAACAGGGAAATGTCATAATAAATTGTAATAGAAATACCAGATGGAACACTTGAGAAACGCACGCAAGTTAGGACGCCAAACGACCCTCCTCCTCCTCTTCCCCTAAATACACTGATGAGTTTCAGAGCTTTCTTATGGACAGTGGACGTAATACTGGCCACAATTGCATGAATTACTTTATTGTAAGGCAAAATTGCACAGCATGTACTGTGCTCGCTCCCGCCTCGCCCACCTGAACCCGATGGAAAGGCACTGGCAATTCTAAAAACTCCGTCTACGCGTGCCCCACACGACCCGGACCTACAGAAAACGACAGACTTCTCTGAAAATGCGACTCAAATGTCTTGCACATGAGTATCTCAAAGGCCCCGAGATCAGAAGGCCGTTGAACCTGGCTATCTATTCTGAGAAGGGCCGAGGGCAAAAGTAGCTTATGTAGGCCCACTCAGTAATCCCTCCTCCCTACATCTGTTCCTACAAAAACGGTGGTTATAGTGTTTTCTGGGTGGGGAATTAGGACACACAGTGGAATATACTTTAATAAATGCTAAATTCATTTGTATTTTACTGTATTTAGAAGCGGCTTTCGAATTTGAGCCACCCATTTTTTTGCTCTCCATTCACGTGG